GTGCCTTCAATTCAATTCCAATTCTTTCTGCTTGCCTAGTTACAATTGCTCCCCGCTTTTCTGGTAACGGCATCCCAACTTTTCTGTAAAGAATCGCCCCTCTCCCACCCTTTGGCCATGTGGTTAATGACATTGATTGGCTCCAGTGGTGAACACATGACCACAGCCTGGCCAATGAGAATCCCACATTCTCCCGGCCCACTGACTGATTCAGAGATAGGAACGTGACCCCAACTGGCCAGTGAAAGCCCAGCCCTAGGACTTTTGATTAAACTACAAGGAAAAATAAGCTATTTTTTCCACAGGAATTACGAAGCTGATAAGATATAAACTACTCCTGTTTGTCACCACTTGGGGAAAGCTGCCTAAGAATGAAGACGAAACCAGAGAAGACAGTTTCTTGTTGTCGTTTGATCACCTGGATCCAGCTGTGACTGAAGCCAAGTCCCTGGAGCTTTTCCACTACGAATGCCAATAAATTCCTTTGAGTTTGTTTGTTTAGACCAGTTTAAACTGGGTTTCTGCCATTTCCTACCAAAAATATCGCAACACAGCCTATTTGTGTCAAATAGCTAAGAATCTGCTACACTAAAATAAAAACATGGTTGATGTTTGCAGGTTTGTGAAAGCTGCCAAATGGCATCACCTTGAATTCACCTCTTTTTTTGTTTGTTTTGTTCAGGGCGTTAATTTCAAAGAGACAGAAAGAGAGGAAAAGAAAGGTTCATTTTCTGATATGCATGTAGGCTTCTTCTTATGGTGACTAAATTTCTAAACATTATCAACCATGTTTTCAAGTTTTGAAGGTTAACCTAGCTAGGTTTTGAGTTCTCTAGCCTGTTGTAGAATCTACCTGCATCATTATTCTGTCACCACAGGAAAACCTCCTTCCCAAACCACCATCAGCTTTTCTTACTCTCCTGGTTCCTGCCTTTTAGCCTACAGGAATATAATATCCATGCGTCCTCCATGCCAAAAAACAATTTAAAAAAAAAAAAGACAAAAGGAAAAACAAACTTCAATACACAAAATCAACCATACTCACCACTGGACAGAAAAAATAACCAAAAACACTTAAAGAAAAGTGTAAAATGTTCATAATGATTGTCTCTGGTGGTAGAATAAGAACTGAATTTTTCTCTTAAAAAATACTTTCCTGTACTTTCCAAATTTCCTTGGTATTCTTTTTTATAACATGATATATAGTTGAAAAGTTGCCTCTTCTTAAAGCCACCAACATCTCTCCACTCCTTACTGCCAAACAGCATAAAATGAAAGACCCACATCACTCTCTCCACTTCCTCACACCTGGCTCACTTCCACTTTGACTTGGTTGTCATTCACACCGCTCAACTGAAACTACAGTCCCCAAGGTGACCAATGTGACTATGATGAAACAAGCGAAGACTTCCTGTCCTCCTTCAGCCCCAGTGACCTCTTTGGACTATCGGCCATCCCTTCCTTTGGCTCAAGTTTGCCTGCAGCATTAACTTCAGAATTTCCTTTCCTTTCCTTCCCCATTCAGTCATTAAACACATCTTACTAATTGTATTTTCTAATGCACCTTGTATGCATCACCTCCTTTCCCTCTGCCATCTGACCCTCTTGTAGTCCCACTTCCATTATTCTTCTATGCCTCCACCCTCCCTCATCCCATCTGTCACACTGCTTTGGGAGTTACTGCCCTAAAACTCAAACATAATCATTTAATTCCTCCACCTTAAAATCTCTATTGGCTCTTGAATGCATAAAAAAAAAAAAAAAAAAAAAAAAGCACAATTATTGGCCTTGCACCCAAGGCCCTTCACAAGCCAGTCCTGGCCATCAACCTCATCTTTCACTTCTGCCCAGACTGTACCACAGGCTCCAGGGGATACCACCTGGCTGGCTGTTCCCAGACCTACTGTCCTCTTGCACTCCCATGCCTTTTTTCATGCTTGTCCTCTGCCCTGGATTGCCATTTTCCCCCTTTTCTGCATGAAGTCTTGTTCATCCTTCAATGCCCAGGCCAGCATTAAATTCTGAATATTGTAATAATTAGCAATTATCACACCGTATTTTGGTCCCTAGTAGAGAGTGATGTACTTCAGGACAGATGCATCATTCTATTTGTTATTATATACTGACTTGTCAGCTATAGAAAATAGCAAATAAATAGGTAAAAAGGAAGAGGAGTAAAAATTGCAGACCTTTCCTAGAGAATTGATTTTTTTAAATATATAGTAAGGGAGTAATTAAAGTATTTCTGGCTTCCAAAAATAACTACTATTTTCCTACAAAGACTTTTCTGTGGTCTGTATAATACTGTGGCTGCCCTATTCAAAGTTCTTTACTCTCAGTACTTATTATATTACTTTGGCCAATTCTTCTGGTTTGGCATCAGTCTGCTTAGAATTTTTTTAAAAAATTTAATGTGCATAATAAAAAATTTAAGTCATCTTAATTTCTTAGCTTGTCATTCAATCATGGTATCACCTAATATTATAGTCGAGACTTATAAATCTATAGCTTCCACTTAAAAAAAATTGAATGTGTTTGAATATACTTTTTGTCTAAGGAAAAGTAATACGATAACATTCCTTAACTTTTTCCAGTTAAATTTACTGCATTTATTTTTAAAAGGTCATATATTTCATAAAATTACTTTATTTTAAAGTTATAGGACACAGAATGAGGTATAGTCATAGAAAACCTAAATCTGAAGAATTCAGAATTTAAAAGAGTGAAATAGTTAAATAGTTAAATGGCATCTGACATCCTGGAACAGTTAATTCTGCTGACAAAATCATCACTAAATTTCATTGGAAAAAGAAAGGTGTCATGAAATCACTCTGTCCTTGAAGAGAAATGATGGAATTGATTCAACAACTATTTATTCAACACAAACTATGATCAAAGCATGATATGAATAACTCTAGAGCACTATAAAATGAGTAAGACACTCCCCCACTCTTAATCCCCAAAGAAGACAAGACAAGAACGTGAAGAACTACAATATAAACCCAACACGATGCATCACAAAAAGGTCCAAAATGCTGTGAGGGTTCTGAGGAGAAAGACACACTATGCAGCTGAGAGATCCAGGAAATACTTCTCACGAAGGATGACACACAAGCCCTACAGAACAGATGGCATTTCTATAAACGGAAAGGGAAAGGGCCATTCCAGGCAGTGGGCATGGCAAAACACACGGACAGGAGCAGGAAACATGAGGTAGCTGGAGCCCCGTGAGAAGAGCGGCCTGGAGCAGCTCTGTACCGCCCTCCCAGTCCTGGGCCCTGCTCGCTCCTCACTGCAGCATCTCCTCCCATGTCATGCAAGCCAGTCGGTTTGAGGCTAAAACATAAATGCTCTTCCTATTCCTAATAAATCCTGGGTTCAGTCCAGTAGACAATGGGGAATAATTGAAAGGTTTTGAGCAGAGGTCCTATACCAGTGCAGGGCAGTGCTTGAGGAAAAGTAATCTGGCAACACATATAGAAATTGAAGGGAGCTACTGAAGGAGAGACCAAAATACTGCAATAATAGGAATAAGGTCAGAGTACACGACTTACTGTTGCTAAATGTTTGGGTAATAAGCTACAACACTGTAACGAGGAGTTAAAAGCAATTGATTACTACTTCCTTTATATCTAAAGTCCTGATTTTAAAAATGCATATTTAATTCCCAGAAAGCTTTATGACCCCATTCTCATCTTCTCTAAATTTTTTGTAATAAGAAATAAGAAAGTCTGACTTTTTTTTTCTTTGAGACAGAGTCTGGCTCTGTCAACCAGGCTGGAGTGCAGTGGTGCAATCTCAGCTCACTGCAACCTCCACCTTCCGGGTTCAAGCAATTCTCCTGCCTCAGCCTTCCAGCTAGCTGGGATTACAGGCACCCACCACTGCACCTGGCTAATTTTTTGTATTTTTAGTAGAGACAGGGTTTTAATATGCTGGCCAGGCTGGTCTTGAACTCTTGACCTCAAGTAATCCACCCTCCTCAGCCTCCCAAAATGCTGGGATTACAGGTGTGAGCCGCCAGGCCTGGCCCTATTTTTGATATTTGACCATTGACAGCTTTCGAGCCCCATTACTCCCCTTTTGCCACACATCTGTATAAGCCAATAAGAAAGGAGGGGCAATTCTTCCTTGTGCCACCAGGAAAAGCAAACCTCTGCCCATTCATAAGTAGCCTCACCACAGCCCACTCTCCAACCAAAATCACTCACATCCTTTCCTTCACTCAAGCTGAACAGACTCATCTGGATGGCTGCCCTGCTCTCCCCAGAAAGGCTCATATGAGTAATATATCTTTTCATACCCTCCTAGGGTGTGGTGAATCAGTCTTGACATCCAACCCAGTTTTGGGTGGGAGAGTTGATCCCATCCTCCACTGGATAACCACAAACACTCTTAAAAGAGTAAACTGCTGCAATGTCCTTGAGATAGCTAGATTAGAGGAAGGAGGATGCTCAGAGTAGGGGCATGGAAATACTGAATGCTCCTGAGCTCCAGAACCCTCCACAGGGAAATGCCCATTATTAAATGTCCTATGTTCTAAAGATAGCTCAATGTGACTGTGCTGAACAGCCCTATATATTCACTCGAATATATAGTTATCAACTTTAAAACAACTCAGTGTGCACTGGGTAACTGCTTGGCCCCAGCCTTTTCTCCCCGGCTAACTCTAAAACACTGCACAGTCATAGAAGCTACGTGCTTAATTCTCCTATAATCACTATACAAGTTGGGATGGAAACACAATTCAACATTTCTCCTTCTTACGATCCTGAGTTAAAGTGCCCAGGCAACTAAAAGGCTAAAATGAAAAGCACAAAGAACATTCTCCAAATAGCACTTTAGTTACAAACCAAATGATCATCTTCACATATGCATTATACACGAAGTATTTTCATGTCTTTTCAGACATACCTACAGAGACCTAAAGGTCATAATCATGAAAAACAGCAACTTCCTCAGAAAGAGAGCTTATAAAGTCATTAATATTCAATACTTACACATCTTTAGCTGCTCCTGCAGGGCCTAGAGAAAAAAAAAGATAGGTTTATGTTGGTGTGATAGTTTTGCTATAAAAATGTTGCCTAATACCTAACTAAAATACAGTAATATTCCTAAAGAGATAAGAAAATTGTTTTTTAAAAATTTCAAAAACAGAGAAAGGAGGGCAAAATAGCATAAAATTCAATTTTTTTTTTTTTTTGAAACACAGTCCCACTTTGTCGCCCAGGCTGGAGTGCAGTGATGCAATCTCAGCTCACTGCAACCTCTGCTTCCTGGGCTCAAGTGATCCTCGCACCTCAGCATCCTGGGTAGCTGGGAATACAGGTGCATACCACCAGGGCCGGTTAATTTTTATATTTTTTCTTGAGATAGGTTTTCACCATGTTGCCCAGGCTACCCTCCAACTCCTGGGCTCAAGCAATCCTCCCATTTTGATCACCCAAAGTGCTAGGATTACAGGCATGAACCACTGCACCTGACCTAAAATGCCAATCTTAAATTTCAAATTTAGTTTAAGTTTCAAATCTTAGCTTTGGAATCTATTCTATCCATCTTTAACAATTCCTGTAAATTACAAGGTGCCAGTTCCGAAAAAGATTTTACAGATCACCTAATCCAACCTCCCATTTTACGAATTTTAAAACTGGCAGACTTCAAGAAACATTTTCTTTTCTAAGCCACACACCTTCAAAGTTGGTGTCTGCATGGCATGGTTGAGTCATACTGTGCACTAATGCAAGCAATGGACTACATTAATTAGGAAGCCTCACAGACACCAGCCTAGTTCCAAAAAGAGCCACATGCATCCCTAACTCTGCTCCCACTGGCTTTCCGTCCACTTGTGATGCTTAATATGGAGTGTCAACTTGATTGAACTGAAGCACGCAAAATATCATTCCTGGGTGTGTCTGTGAGGGTGCTGCCAAAAGAGATTAACATTTCAGTCAGTGGACTGGAAGAGGCAGACCCACCCCTAATCTGGGTGGGCACCATCTAATGAGCTGCCAGCGCAGCTAGAATAAAGCAGGAAGAAGGCAGAAAGAGCAGACTTGCTGAGTCTTCTGGCCTTCAACTGTCTCCTAAGCTGGATGCTTCCTGCCCTCAAACATCAGACTCCAGGTTCTTCAGCTTTTGGACTCTTAGACCAATAGTTTGCCAGGGGCTCATGGGCCTTCAGACATAGACTGAAGGGTACACTGTTGGCTTTCCTACTTTTGAGGTACTGGGACTGGGACTGGCTGTGTTGCTCCTCAGCTTGCAGATAGTCTATTGTGGGACTTCGCCTTGTGATCGTGTTAGTCAATTCTCCTTAATAAACTCCCCTTCACACATTCATCTGTCCTATTAGTTCTGTCCCTCTGGAGAACCCTAAAATACCACCCAAGCGAAAAAGACAGGCCATCTCTTTTGGTCCCCATCCCCACTACTTCTCACAGATTTTCTGCCCACAACATTTCCTCCTCCCAATATCTTTATTTGGGAGGCACAGTACTTGATTCCAGCTCTTACAAGATATATGTTATTAAGCATTTTTTAACCTCTTAAGACCTCCTTCCCTCATGTCAAGTGAGGGTAAAAGAGTATCTTTCTCAAAGGTTATTGTGAAGATTTTAAAAGACAATGTATAAAAAGGCAATGTAAACACTTAAAACAAAGCTGGTGCATATAGAAGTGACACTTGTTAATATTTTAATTTTAAAATTAAAATAACTTCTGCACAAGTCACAGAGTTCAAGACCAGCCTGGGCAACATGGTGAAACCCTGTCTCTATTAAATACAAAAATTGGCTGGGCATGGTGGTGCACATCTGTAATCCTAGCTACTCAGGAGGCTGAGGCAAGAAAATAGCTTGAATCCAGGAAGTGGAGGTTGCAGTAAGCTGAGATGGCACCACTGCACTACCGCCTGGGTAACAGCACGAGACTCCAAATGAAATAAAAAATAAAAATAAAAGAAGTCAAAGTATTTTACTCCAAAATATATTTCTTTGATATATTTTGAAATGGCAAAGCAAAGCTGTTGCTTGTGGGGGAAAAAAAATCTATATTCTGTAGAGAATTCTCTTCCCTTTCCAGGTCTTTTTCCTGGTCTAGGAGAGAATTAACTTAGTGTCTGGCACCTCTATTTTTTTTGTTTGTTTTTTGAGATGGAGTCTTGGTATGTCGCCCAGGCTGGAATGCAATGGTGCAATCTTGGCTCACTGCAACCTCCACCTCCCAGGTTTAAGCAAGTCTCCTGCCTCAGCCTCCTGAGTAGCTGGGATACAGGTGCCCACCACCACACCAGCTAATTTTTGTATTTTTTTTAGTAGAAATAGGGTTTCACCATGTTGGCCAGGCTGGTCTCGAACTCCTGACCTCAGGTGATCTGCCTGCCTCAGTCTCCCAAAGTGCTGGGATTACAGGCGTGAACCACTGTGTCCAAGCCTGGCACCTTTTTAAGTCTGATAAGAAACATTTAAAGGAGCTTCATCTGCATAATACAACCTCGGTCTCCACAACCCCTTATCTTAACTCAGACAATTCCAGGCATCGATTGATTCCAGATTTTTAAATAAATTCTTTCAACCAATTGCTGATCAGGGCATCTTGGAATCCACCTATGACCTGGAAATAACCCCCCACACCCCACCGCCTTTGAGTTGTCCTGGACCAAACCAATATACATCATACATGAATAGATTGGCATCGTATGTCTCCCTACAACATATAAAACCAAGCTATAGCCTGACCACCCTGGGCACATGTTCTCAAGACCTTCTGAGGCTATGTCACAGGCATGTCTTTAACTTTGGCAAAATAAACTTCTAAATTGATTGAGACCTATCTGAGATACTTTTTGATTTACATAGATTTTCTTCTAGATTCTCATGCTTGTTTGACTCTAAAACAGAACACTCATTTTCATGGATTTATGGTGGCACTAATCTTTTGTTTATTTTTTGCTATCAAAACACTCTACTGTTGGCAGTTTTTCCTATGTAACATTTTTTTTAAGTTTAGGATTTTTTGGTTTAATAATCTCTGATTCTAAAGCAGTTTACATATATATAATTTAAACAATAATAACAGCATAGAAATGTTCTTCCCTGAAGAAAGGAACTAAGTTTATTACAAAGTTTAGGTTTAGTCAAAGCCTTAAAAGAATTTGAGACATAGCCTCAATTACTTTTAGGATCAGCTTTTAATTTGCAGTATTTCAGAGGCAAAATTAATATCATTGTTGAATTGTTCTTACAATTTGGCAATAACTTTCCCCACAGGCTTATTTACTTACCTTGTAGCACATCTTCCTTTATCTTTACACCTTAATGTAAAGGAAGTTAATTCTCTCCTGGATCAGGAAAAAGATGTGGAAAGAGAAGAGAATTCTCTACAGAATATAGATTTTCCCCCACAAGTGATAGCTTTGCTAGGCCATTTCAAAGTATGTCAAAGAAATATATTTTGGAGTAAAATACTTTGACTTCTTTTATTTTTATTTTTTATTTCATTTGGAGTCTCGCACTGTTACCCAGGCTGGAGTACAGTGGTGCCATCTCAGATCACTGCAACCTCCACCTCCTGGGTTCAAGCTATTTTCTTGCCTCAGCCTCCTGAGTAGCTAGGATTACAGGTGTGCACCACCATGCCCTGCCAATTTTTGTATTTTTTAATAGAGACAGGGTTTCACCATATTGCCCAGACTGGTCTCGAACTCCTGAGCTCAGGCAATCCAATTGCCTCAGCCTCCCAGAGTGTTAGGATTACAGGCATGAGCCACCACACCCAACCTGAGATCTTTTAGAGCCTGCTATCTGTCATGTCAGTATCTTATTGCTACAAAGAGTCTGCTTTGTCAGTCTTAAGGACTGTTTTAATGTTAAATGCTGGTCGGCTGTGCCTGACTTTCAAAGGAAGGAGGGTATAATCAGGTATGTACAATCCCCACTTCCCATTATGGCCTGAACTAGTTTTTCAGGTTAACTTAGGAATGCCTTTAGCCAACAGGAGGGGTCCATTTAATTGGTTCAGGGGATTAGAATTTTCAGTTTACATCTAGAAAGAAAATAATATCTTTTTAGCTTTTATTTTCTTTTTTATTTTTGTGGAAAAGGATGTGTTTGGGTTTTCCTATAGTCAGGGAATGGAGAGCCAAAGGTGAGCCTTTGATTCTGCAAGTTTTACACAGAGAAGAAAACAATGATTACAATGTGGACCATGAGTCCCCAACTTTTTTTTTTTTTGAGATGGAGTCTCACTCTGTTGCCCAGGCTGGAGTGCAGTGGCACAATCTCGGCTCACCACAACCTCCGCTCCCCAGTTTCAAGCGATTCTCCTGCCTCAGCCTCCTAAATAGCTGGAATTATAGGCACCTGCCACAATGCTAGCTAATTTTTTCTGTATTTTTAGTGGAGACAGGGTTTCTCCATGTTGGCCAGGCTGGTCTTGAACTCCTGACCTCAAGTGATCCATCTGCCTTGGCCTCCCCAAGTGCTGGCATTACAGGTGTGAGTCACCATACTCTGGTGAGTCCTCAACATTTAAAGACTAGGGGCGATCTACTACAATCCACAGGAAGAAGAGAGTGGCCAAGGCTGCCTCCGCTACATCTCAGGAACGGCAACAGGGTGATGGGGAAGAACAGTGTGGAATCAGAAGGCAGATGACTGGAGTCAGGTCCCTGCTCCAATATTTGTCTAACAGTCACTAAAGCACTTTGTTTCAGCGTCTAATAAACAAAGACATACTGGGCCAACAAATGCAGCTAGGAAGGCAAAGCACAGTAACATGTATGAAATGAGAAATGAGTTTACAAATGGCCGTATGTTGTGCATTCAGTGCTTAATCAGCATCAGAAACTCTCCATCCACTTTACCTTGATTGCACCAAGCTATGGGCAACATCAAGGGCCTCTTCCCTGCTGGGCTCATCATTTAACATCCCAGCAGGCCCAAGGGAAATGCATAGTGCCACATCATTTAAAACAAAGTCAAAAGACCATTCCCTCTGTTCTAAAACGGCCCTCCTTTGGAAGGCCA